AAATGGAATTAGGATAGGTGATTAAATATCCATACCAACTCCAAAAAAATTGCAGCCCATAATTAGGAGGAAGGAGGTACCATATGCTTATTGTAAAATAATTTTCACACAGAATAAAATAGATACAAAAGAAGAAAAACAGAGCACCATATTCAGGAACAAAATACCCAAAGCCTCTTGACCAGTAAAATTATGTGACTACCACACACCTATTATCTAGCATCTTCTTCTTCCCCCCTACTCATGTATCGAAAGGCGTGAAAAGAAACCTCAAAATCCTACATCCTTCTCGCGTGGATACTGTAGGACTCACTTCTGAGGCTGATTTTTGTGAGGTAAAGGTATGTAGGACAGCTGTTTGAGGTAACTTGTGCCTAATCTCTATAATAGTGTTTTGTATATTTATCATTGATGTTCTAATGATCAAGAAGATGTCTATTTTCTATCTCTTCACTGCATTCAATGTTAAAAAATCTTAAGAAAATTCATTGTTTACAATACTATAACTTCTCTGGAGGACACATATACAGGACCATAATAAATTTCCATTAAAATAGCAAAGTTACACTGCAGGTGACATAAACATAAAATAGGAAATACTTGAATAAAAGATGGCCTATTCAGCAAACAAATATGATAAAATTATAGATTCTATTATGAAACAATTTTTTTTTCCAGGTGAGAGGAACTGTCTAAATACAAGTGCTCGAATTACAGTTTTCTATGAATTTAATAGTTGGAGAGGGAACAAATAAATTTTAGAGCTCATAAATGACTAAATTCACAAGATTACTGAGTTCAGGCAATGGTCTCTAGGTAAAAATTTAGATAGATAGAGGAGCTGAATTGCAGTTCACCAAGGGAAATATATTAACCAAGACATGAACTGTGACTGATCATTCATAATTAAACTATGATAGTAGTATGCAAAATTTCAGATTACCTCCAGCTTAGTTGCCCAAAGGGGTTTTGGGTGGGGGGGGGGGGGGGGGGGGAGGGGTGAAAAATTAGGGTTAAGAGTTTTTATATCACCTGATCTTTGAATAATAAAATTTGGTCCCTGAATTTTGAATTCCAATCTTTAAACACCTGAATTATTATAATTTCACCTATCTGTATCCCNGGGGGGGGGGGGGGGGGGTGGAGCTTAAATTATTTTGTCCCTCTTCAAACATTTATTTTTACTCACAACAAATTTGGCAGCAAGCTTAATTGTACAAGTCCTGTAAAATATTGGATGAGAACTACAAGTGGCAACATTGGAATTAATGAAGACAAGCACCCAACAGAAAATTTCACAGCATATAGAGGCACATCAAACCTTCCAATTTGGGG